CAAATCGCTTAAAATACGCAAGTTTTATCATCTCATTCGCATCTGTTTCAGCTGTAAAGCAGAATACATAGAGTTTATAAAGTGTTTCTCAACTAGACATGAAAAAGAACATTGAATAATGTCGAAATACAGGTGCCTTACTTGGCATACAGTGAGGTACACTGCAATTTCTTTAGGGGCTTATGCAGCATCCCTTCGCGCTCGCAGTGGCCTTTTAGCGCCACGCTGGCCCCAGATCACGTCGGCGCCATAAATAATTGTCAGAATCGTGATCAGGGCCATTGATTACCCCTGTTTGAGAGGTTTCAGCGAAAAAAAATTTTCGAGTTCTTTAGTGGTCATGGACCTGACCCCTTGGATGGCAGTGACAGGCGAACCCTCCGTTAAGTATCCTCTCTGGCAGACGAACCGCCAGAAATTTTTCATTTCTTGCCCCTCAACTTCAGTAGGTCTTCATAGAACATCGTGCTAGCTTCGGAGCCACTAAACGAGCATCCTGGATCTTTCTTCACTTTTACCGTCTATGCTTTCGACAAAGAACTCGTTACCACTTGCCTGGAGAAAGGTTTTGTTTCTCATATCAAAGGTATGAGAGGAGTGCAGTGTATGTGCGTCACTTTTTTTGTGTAGTTTTTAATTCTGCGTCTGCATACTAGCAAATGAAAAGCTTCCTCTTAACGATGTTGGATAACGACTCCTTGGGGGGGGGGGGGGGAGGGGGCTGATAGCCACTAGCTGGAGACATGGCCGGCAACATAACACAAAAGCTCGGGAAAATTTTTCTCGCAGCACGTTAACTGCTATACGTAGGGGTAATTGATGGTCCTGATCACGGTTCAGATACTTATTTTTGCCGCGGAGGCCATCTGGGGCCAGTACGGCGCTAAATAGCCCCGCCGCGCAGACTGACAATGATGGTAGTACGAGAAAGCCTTTGCACCAAATTAGCGACACATTGCGCCATATTCAAAAATGAGTGTCATGATCAGAGCATCGGATAACCGCCGTAACCCAAGTTTCATGAAGAGTTTTTCGATAGTATTTCGCGAGCGCAATAATTGAGTGAGGCCTATTTGTGAACCGTTCCCGCATGGAATGTGCCTTCAAATGGCGTATATCCGGGTCATACACATTATGGGGCATACAGGAATACAAGAAGCAAGAAATGTGAAAAATGCAAAATTAGTGTCTGTCGGCGAGGACCACACAAGACCACCGTCGATTAGCCTCGCCCGCACTCACTCAGTCATCTGCTCACCAACACTACATATCTTCTCACTACCATGATCCTGCTTGCACACACGCACTCATAGCAGATGACCGGAAAACTCCAATGCAGCTCACCGCATGCCAAGTAGACCATTTGGATTTTGACCTTATTTTGCGCTGTTCTTCATGCCTGCTCAAAGAATACCCTACATACTATACCCTGTCAACGCTACAGCTAGAACAGAGGCGAATAAGGTGGTTTAAAAGCCCCATTCTTTTCGAATTGTTTTTGACCTTTTTTTGACATTCCCAAAACCGTTTAGCAAAAATGAACCCCATCGCTGTGGTCCTCGCATGGACCCCTACAACATGCAACAAACCGTTTTGAAAAAGCTCACCACGGCCTGAACGACCTCCCTTGTGATGCTCACACGAGAACGGCTCTTTTCTACAAAATCAGTTATGTTATTTCGCTTTTCTCCTGCTCAACGACGTCCTTGTCTCCTTTAAGTTCGGGATAAATGGAGGCGAGGAGAATTCGAAGGTTGGTGACGTAAAAGTTCGAGTTCAAGCTTGAGGTGTTGTAAGATTGAAGAATAGTGTTCTGTACTGAAACGCCTAAAACGGGAGAATTCAGCAGTCGGAAAATTCGACATGCGGCATATACGACCCCATCTCCAGCAACCAAATACGACCTCCCCCTAAAATTTTTCAACTGTGGTGCGACCTTCCCTTCCCATCCCCCATCCTGCCGTATAATATTTTCCTATATCGTTTTGGCTCCCAACCTTCTTTACGGAGTTATCCCAGGATTCCTTGAAGATTTTTACGAGAAAAAATAAAGGATAAATAAAGGATAAAGTCTTCGCCGTTGATCAATCCCTTTGTGGGATGCGGCACGCATTCTACTTCCATTCAGAATCGTAGTGGCTTATTGAATGCGATGTGGCCTATACAATGACTTGCGGTGGCCAGCCGATGTACAAGTCAGTGTTTTATCCTCCCAGACGAATCTGGTACCAATTTACCGTCCCCGGAGGGTAGAAGGCTTGGTTGGCCTGGGCGGGTGTCGACCCGGGATTCGAACCCGGCGCCGCGCGAGTGGTAAGCGCGCCACTTGTCACTACACCACCTCCGCCTCGCGAGAAAAAATATTCTGGAAAAAGGGTGGAGTATTGGGAAGTGGAGGGGACACACAAAGAGAGAGAGATAGAGAGATAGAGATAGAGAGAGAGAAAGTAGCGCACTCGATGCAGGGAGAAGATGATGAAGGTCAAGCGCAAAAACATTTTTTCCTGAGACGAATATAATCCTCCACTTTCGCCCTCTCCACATGCGACCCCATCGCTGGGAATCTCCAATGTGCGACCCTAATAGTACCTACAAGAGTTTGGAAGTCACATCAAATCTACGGCACCCTTGCACACAAAAAAAGTCAATGCGACCGAAACATCTAATTACTGAATTGTGCACGAATTTGAGCGATATTGACAACCCATTTATTAATCGCATCGCAGTAAAGCAAAAAAATAAAATGCAACGGTAATGGTCACACTAAATCAGACCACTAGAAGCTAAATTCAGTATTACCGCCACGGTACCGTAACCCAAAGCGGCGCCCAGTTGATTGTAACTCCGCAGTGGACGTACGTATAACACCGAACTTTACGCCGGTACCACTATGGGAATTGTGCGGAAATGCTTAATACACTGCAGTGTTCGACGATGGACGGAAATTTCATGCACATTTCACTTATGAATTTTTCGTCTCGACATTGAGGCTGATCTGATGTTCTTGATCTGATGTTGGCATTGCGCAGCGTAAGGGAATTCATAACGCTCACAACGCTTCTTTCTATTTACATTTGGAGAATAATTACATGAATATAAAGAGCCGAATTATTTTAACTTACTCCAGACCAGAGAATTGTTTCACAAGTGCTTTCCCCAACCTATTCCATGAAATTTAACTGCACGCGTAGTGATTGCAGAAGCGAAAGACGCCACTATTACAACTAGACGTAAAAAGTAGCGATCTGATCACTGACGTGACATTTTTCGTGACGGTACCATTTGGCGTCAGTTTGGTGCAGCTACAGTTCGGACTCAGTTCTGGTGCAACTAGGAGAAAAAATTATTCCCAGTTCGAAAAGTCGTAGTTGTGAACGCGACCAACTACATGCAATACCACCTATTCTACCTTTCGAGGCGATGAGGCTAATAAGTCGACCGTAGTAAATTATTGTATACTACAGCGAACTTGGGAAGCCGTCTCTATCCAACACTGGTTAGCATCAAACGTGCAGCACCATCAAAGTGCTTGAAGCAAGGGTAATAGAAGGATAGATCCGGCATCCTCACATCGAAGTCCTCACAACGACATCCGAAACACACATCCGTTTTCTTCCACCCAGAAAAAGGAAATAACGGCGTAGTTTCAGCGTCCGTGCTGAAGTTTTTAGCGCGCCTACGACAGACTTCCAATTTAAAGGGCGCCGCTTGGGGTTACGGTACCGTGGCGGTAATACTGAAGTTAGCTTCTTGTAATCAGACCAGTTTCCATAACAGTATCTGTCTGTCATAGAACGCTGTCTTGAAAAACTATAGACATCATTGAAAGTTCTGTTTTTACACGATAATGGGCTTTCTTCTGGAATGACTGACATCATTCCTCATGACAGTCCTACCGACGGGGTTTTCTGATAGTCACATGAAGTGCTTCTTATGGGCAGTACTTCCTTGTCATCGTTCGCTGAACAAATCACATGTGTGAACTGCCTGTCCCCTATAAGAACTCCATTTAAGGCTATCCTATCCCAAGGCTTCAACAGTCTTGACGCGACGTTCGCGTGTGCGCCTCATTATTTTCCTTATCAGAGTCAGTTTTTGACCTACTTTTTTCTCTGTTGACAGATTTGGCTCAAATTCCCTTTCCTATGGTAGCTTGACCCTTTGAATACGAATATCGTGTTCGCTTAGCCCGAAACCTCCTGGCGCCCGGGCGCCGCTGATTTGAGGTATTTTGGCGCCAGCGCCTGTAGCGCGGGCGTCAGGAGGTTTTGTGCCGAGCGGATGTGATATTCATGTTCAGGAGGTCAAACTACCCCAGGAAACGAAATTTTAGCCAATTTTGCCCACGCAGAAAAAAGTCGGTCAAAAACTGGCCTATTTGCGGAAGATTGGAGCAGTAAAAAGTAAATAGTGCCCAATTTTCTTATTCAGCCGATGGCCTGAGCCTTTATTGAGATAGCGAGGGGGTATAGGTTCTGCAGTATTGTTCGACTAATTCGACTTATTGTAGAAACATGGTGCACGCTGGTCGCATGGGCGGAGTCACGTTTACTGTGGTGCCTTTGCCATTACCAGCCCTCTCCTTTTTGTCTCTTTGAACAAGGGGGCTTTCGAGTGAGAAGCTCAAGGCGGCCTTCGGCTATCAGCGCTCACTCACTGAGCGGTGACTGCGCCATCGAATAGCACCGCTCCTTTCTGGGTGAAGCTCAGAATGTGCGAGTTGCTGCGAGAAGGCAGGAAGAGGAAGTGGTATTATGAGAGCGGTGCCCGCATCATGACATACTTGGTTCAAGGTGGTAATGCCAAGACAACTAGCTAGGAGATTCTGCGCTAGTTACCTGTAATAGACCTTCTTAGCACTGGCCTAGGTCAGATAGACCGAATTCCGATGAAGCTAGGAATTGTGCTATGTTTTTCATGTTCTTCTCCTTTCGGTTATTTCCTCATTTCCTCAGAAGAACTTCATAGCTCTGTGATCAAGGCTTGCTTTCAGATAAGAAATGAAATTGTTAGCAGTTGTTGTACTTTTGGTCAGCGTTCTTGCCGCATCAGCACAATTTGGATTCGGAGGAATGGGCATGGGTACGTTCTTTCAAAAGATCATGGGTTTTAAATTGCTTTTTTGAATGAATAC